CGCCGGCAGGCAGGCAGGCAGGCAGGCAAGCAGTCAGGCCGGCGTACAGAAGACTCCGAGTCCAATCAACGCCCAGCTACTTGCAGCCATGTCCTTTTGCCCTGGCTTCCGCATCCGCATCCGCATCCACCGCCGGTCCTGTCGCCCGATTCCTGCCTGCCCTGCGGTTGCCCTACTAACTATTATTATACTCCTGGCCCAAAAAGCGAGGGAGAGAGGGAGTGCCTGCAACATTTCGGCTATGTCTGCCTGGTTGGAGGTACTTGGCAAAGCGCCGCCATTGCGTCCACATCCACTTTGGCCAAAAACGAAACGAAAGCCCCTCAAGCTCCGCGCAATCCCTTTCGTCCAACTGCCGTGGCCTACTCGACGGCAATTGACGGAAGTTCATTGGTTAGCAAATGGCAGTTTTTGTACGCTCATTAGCATTATTTGTCTGTTCTGTGGTTCTCAGCTCCTCCGCTCCAGACTGGATTCGGCGATGCGATGGGATCTCTGTGATACATCTAGTACCTCCTCCCATCTAAGCCATGTGGCCCAAATCGAGTGGGGAATGCAGTTTTCGGGTAAGGTGATTGGACTGGCCTTGTTTGGAATGTAGGTTAACAGCTAACTGCATCAATTACACGGATTACAGTCGGGTTTAACCGATTGCCACAGCTGAAGAGGAGTCAATTGAGCTGAAAACGTCAGGTATGTAAACTATATTTAACTATTTAGGTATTATAGGAAAGCAGGAAAGTTAGAATGGTTACTTTCTTACTATTTACAAGCTGTGAACCACAGGTGTTGATCAGTTAGCAAAACCTACATTTGTTTATTTATAAATTGTCTCAAGGTATAATAAATTAACTTAACATTAATCTTATGTATATATAATTCAACTTTTCATCCCGCAACACATTATATATTTACATACATGTTCGTTCCTTCATTCAATTCCTTTTGTTTAATCAACCAACGGAGTCATTAAGAAACTTCCTGTGATGAAAGAATCCTCGCTGAACCCCTAAAAAACTTTTCCTTAATGCCCATTACCCCAGATTCTCATTGCAACTTTCAATAGGAAAGCCAAGCCCCAAGCTCAACCCCAATCTGAACCCATTTTAATATTGTTCATAACTCTTTCAGAAGCAGCGAAAATTACAAAAGCGTACACCTTAAGCCCCTTTTATCTTCATCATGATTGTTATCTTGGGGTCCTGATGATCGTTGCCGTTATTGGTTATGACAACTTTTGTGTTACTTTGCCTGACGACGTTTGGCAAATGAGTTATTGATTTTTAATTTACCACACACACACACGACATTTCTCGAGATTCTTTAGGAGGAGCAGCAAAAACTTTTCATTACTCTACCAATCTTTACCACCACTTGGATGGGTTTCTCTTCCATCACAGCCGAGTGCAGGAATGCACTGAAAACAATATTTAGAATTACTTGAATTTAAAGTAACAATTAAGAGTGTCTTTACAGATTTAATAAAATGGTTATTACCCGCTGCTTTTTTGTAGCATAGTTTTTCGCGCATTTCTTAAGGATTTCATACTTCTTATGATTTCTGAACATTCTTTTATTTATTATAGAATATTTATAATTTTTTCTGTGCACTTCTTTCTCCCAATTTCCCTGCTCTTCGTCTATCCATCTATCCCACTGACAGTCACTCATTTTCGCATTAAAAAGCAAGAGAATGGAGACACTTGCATCATTTTTCAATATGCCGCTACGAAACTTGCAACTTTTGCTGGGGACATAACTTTGCAGAGAGCGCTGAACGTAGATGGAACACGGGACCCAAACTCAAACTCAAACTTAAACTGAAACTCAACTCATTAATAAAACACACACACACACGGGTATGCGCATTAACGCACACACACATACACACAGACATGCACTATGAACGCAACGGTAACATGTAATTGCATTTCTTTGGAGCGCAGGTTTCTTCACATCACATCACATGTCATCATTTCTGCGAATGTGTGTGTGTGTGTGTGTGTGTGTGCGGTGCCGTGCGGTAACGGTAACGAGCGTCAACGACTTTTGCTTACGCCCCAGAAACTATGCTATACGAAAATGCAACGCATTGGCAGTCCCCGCGGGAACCCAAAACTCTTCAGAACACAGAGAACACTTAAAGAAAAAAGTATGGTATATATATTTTTTTTCTTAACAAAATAAAGCCTATATTATATTAACGATATTGATATATGTTTTTGTGAGGTAGTTTTAAAACTAAATGCTTATTTTTAAGTGTTAAATGCGTTGAATAAGCAGTTGAGCATCTTAAGAAAACCTGAAACTATATCTCATAATTTTTTAAATCATGCAAGGGTTTTCCTCTTTATTTTGAATATATGAAAAAAAAAAGATTAAATTTCTGATATAATTTATTTAATTTTTGGATTTTAATATTGCTAAATATAATTAATATTTCTTGTTGTGTGCCAGATTCTCAAACTGCAGGACCACCAACCACTGAAGCTAACCAATATAGCGACACAAAAGCGTGTTCTACATAATAGATCTGGGCACGAGTGTGTGTGTGTAGGTGTGGAGTGGGTGGGATGTGATAGCAGTAGTGGGTGGGTCGGATACGGTGCAAGTGATTTTCAAGGAAATTTCACCGTTTGTAGATTGCAATCAGCAGAGTAATGGTATAGAGACAGATGCATGCGACACAATAGTCAGCTGTGTTTATTGATTGGCAGTCATAACGGAACAAGTCAAGCTCCTGAATTTTATTTGAATTTATTGGTCCACGGGTTCAGTTCAAGTTTTTATAAAAGAATGTAAATATGAGAAGGTTTTTTATTAGCTATTAGCTTTTACTTTTTTTCATTAACTAAGATTAAGGCATATTGATGTAAACACGAACAACAAGGAACATACATTTAAATTAAATTAAAATGACAATCATTATTAAAGGATTAGCTGAAGGGTATAGTTTTAAGGACACAATTCTACTATTGGAAATGTTTAATTAAATTTAATGCAGATTTATACAATTATCTCCTAATTTGATTAAGGTGTATTCAAACTAGATTCACAAAAGGCTGAATCCTCTTGGGGTTAACCAAAGCACTTTGCAACACTACTACTACTACCAATGCACTATGCAACACTGCACTACGCCAGAGCGATGTTCAACACTCCCTACATCGCTTACTAGAGAGCTCTTTACCAATTACGTGCGCTTCATTGCTCTTGGAGCCATTAGTGTGATTACGTTTCATTGTCTGCCCGAGTCCTGAGCCCTGAGTCCTGGCCGGGGGTGAGTATGTGTAAGTGTGTGTGTGTGTGTGTGTGTGCAGTGTGCGTGTGTCCTCGGTGCCTTTCAATTGTGTGTCAAAATGTAGTCATGACGAGACTTGACAGTCGTCAAGCCGAGAAGGAGACCGAGGGGCGATTGGGGACTGAAAGCGTCTGGCAGAGGGAAATAGAGAATGTAGCCAGGACCAGCCACGTACATAATTGTATCTTAGTTACTTACGATTGCACAAATTTGAATTCAATTATGTTTTACTTATGTATTGCTGTGCTCTCTTCTGGCAAAAGAAATTGCATGTATTTCGTCTGGAATTGAATTATGTGACCGAGCAGCAGACGGAGGACAAAGAACTGCGAACTGATTGTTGTTACTCTCTTCGTTCTGCAGTTTAATTTGCAATTTTGTAATTTAAAAGGACATTTTTCAGTTCGATAGTTCAAATGATGCCAGGCCATGGCTGACTGACTAGCAACTTGGCTGGCTTTGCTGGCTAGCGGTTTTAGGTTCGTGTTTGAAATATTCAAATGCAAATTGCAAATGCAATTTATCGAAGTTTCGCACGGAGTGGAAAAAAATCTTAGCATAATGATCGACTAGAGAATGCCCAGGAATACGTGATTTTTGAAATATTTTTCACTTAACTTTATTTTAAAAAGTAATCTCTTTACTCAGAAACATATTTCAATTTAAGATGCGACAAGTAGTTAATGGTTAAACTCTCTATCGACACTGAAAAGCAGGCTTTATTCCCAAATTAATTTAAAATTGATTCAACTGGCGAGTCCACATAAATAATAAAACATGTTAGCTACAGTTCAACAACAATCCAACGCTAATTCCATATACAAAGTTAATTGAACATTTCGCATGTTGGAGAGCATTGCATATCAATTGCCCTAATACGGCCTTTTGGTATCCTTTATCCTTTATGACCAATCCCAGTTGTCCCATCCCCCCCCCCCCACACACACAAAACACAATCTGCGGCATTTTATTTTCAATTAAATTTTGCGTCCTCTGTAATTAAAGCAAGGACCAGGATTATTTATTTATTTATTAGAATGCGCAACTGATTTTGCGTTGATTATTATATGGTCACGCCCTGCGGCGCCCCTCAGTTCCCCTCAGTATCCCTCTTGCAGCACTTGCAGCATTAAATATTTACCATAATTGAAGTGACAAGCACAAATGCCACTACATGGAAACCGTTTGGAGTGCCTCCGACAAATCCCCGCCTGCTCGCCGCGCATCAGCAGCAGCTGCTAATTGTGTGCAAGCTCATTAACATAACCGCAGGCCTGGCCCCAAAATCTACGCCCTCGAGCCGAGGCTCTGGTCCTGGCACCCCAGCACCATGGAATTCTCGCATTCTGGCAAGTGCAATATGGTCGAGGGATGACCCCAAACCCCGACCCCGATCCCGACCCCGACCCCAGTCACGGTGCCGACCCCTGGAAAGGCCTCCAGCGAACAGCTGTTGGTTGGCTGAGCGTCGAACCGAAAGGAGCGGAAAAGGGAGCACGGCAGGATGCCAGGATGAGCCACCATCAAGCAACAGTTTTTGTTTAAATTTTAAATGCAATTTAAAACAAGTAAGCTTTTTTAAATCTCTTTCTAATTCTAATACAACACAAATTAACAAATAGAAACATTTACCTAATCAAAGCAATCGGTGACTCTCAATTCAAATTGAAATTAGCCTTCGTACTCAAGCCAAACGTAATCCACATTCATTCCAAATCATCGCTTCAAACAGAACACAGGTTTCTCTAGAGAAAAAGTTTTAAAAGGAAAAATTTTAGCATTTGACTGTTTTGTATAACAACTTTTCAATTTTAAATACAAAAATTTTCCAGTTCAAAGTATCATTATCCAAAAGCGTAGAAACATGAAAAATTCAAATTCCCGAGATAATAAGAAGAGTATGTGGCTAGAGGCCACAGATTCAGAGATATTGCATACAGGATTTGCTGATTTCGTGCAGAATTATCAGAAATCCTGCAAGGATGAAGGCGATGTTGAGCCGAAAGTGAAAGGACCTCAGTCGTCTGCAACGTCCTGCCCGGTAAGATGTCCTGGCTGACATTCGGCAGCTTCATGGATCTCCTAATGTTTTCCTTAGGTTGAACATTCCAGCAAAAGTTCAAGCTTGAAATCTATTGGACCATCTTCAGTCAGCGACACCAATCGTGTGGTTGATGATGCGGGCTTTAATCGCTTCCTGGATGAGTGGACTGCAAGAGCTTCGAAGGAAGCCAGGATCCAGTGGACACAAATGTCCAAACGTGATAAAGCCATGTATGCTCCAGTAAGTCAAATCGAATCAGGTTTATTTAGAAGATTTATTCAATTATGATCTCTTGTTTTAATAGAAAGACGATCTGGTCACCACTCCTAGTGCCACATCAGGCTCCGCGGTATCTCCAGCATTTAAACGCCTCTTTTTTGGTGAAGTCAGTAGCGGTGCCATTCGACGAGCCTGTGATAAGGCCTGTACAAATCTTGGTAAGCGCCGCTACAAGCCGAAGAGCCTTCAACCCAAAAAGTGTGCCAAGCCAAGGAGAGTTGCAAAAGGCCCCAAGGCAGTTGCCAATGCCAACACCTTTCCCAAACCAAAAGTTGACAAGTGTCCCAAACCGAAAACAGACAGGAAGCACAACAAGCCAAAGTTGTTCATCAAATCAGAATCTCCTGCTGCTCCAAAGGAGTAATGGGAGATCATGGAACATTTGATCTAAAGAGATTGTGTTTTTGGCCACAAGGATGATAAATAAAGATATTCTAAATTAAGACTAGAAATTTCTTTGGTTTAATATAGTCACTAATTTGAGTGAGAGATCTTTGTTGCCTTATTGTTGGGAAGCAATTGATATTGCCGTTTGGAGATACCCATGAGAATCGGTGTCTAAAAACTAAGCTCAGCTTAAATTAAAGTAAGAATTTATATGTTTATTTGCTCCACTATGTAAGCCAGCTTTTAAAGCTGTCGTCTACCTTTTAATTCCTAATGAATTTTACACCAGCTAGTATAATACCCATCCTAGACATATTCCATATACCAATAATCTGTGGAATCTCCACTTCCAGCCTGATAATACCTCCTCCTCCTCTGGTTTGCATCTGGAATCTCTGGGGAGTGTGTGTAAGCCCCCATTGTATTTCATCAGTAGTGTCGGGCTGCATATGCATATCTTAATGCTCCCCTCCATTTGGAGAGAGGGAACATCGCATCGCATCGCCAAAACCGACAAAATGAATTATGGCCGCTAAATTGTAAAATATATGCCAGATTTCAATAAATCAAATTCTGGACTCAACGCACACGCACTCTCGAAATGAGTTTTATTTATTCTCTCATTTTTTTTTTTCAGGGCATAAAAATATACATAAATACGAGGCATACATATGCATTATGTTGGCTTTGGGATGCGGAAAATCCCGTGTACGTATATATATATTTATGTATAAATCATGTTGGCAAGTTTTTATGCCTTTCGCTGCAAAGACGACTATTAGCAGCGGCGTCTCCTATAAATGCGAATGCTTCCCCATATTCTGGCCTTAAGTCCCATTCCCAATCCCAATCCGTGGCCGCCTCCGCAGCCACGCCTACTTCTTGGTTCCACGAGTGGAGAGTGCATGAATATTTATGACGCAACATTTGGCATAAGTGGCACTCATTTTCAATAATCATCTTAAGCAGATTAAGTTAAATGTCAACCATTAGTCATAATGGCCGGCTCTCCTTTACATGTATGCCAGTGTGTGTGTGTGTGTGTGGATGAGTACACTGGAGAAAAATGTGTGTTAAGGAGTTGAGGAAAAATATTCAATTAGAAGTGTATAAGAAATCTCTTTCAAGTATTCTTGAACCAATAATACACTACATTTTTGTGTAAAGTTTAATTATATTTCAAGACTTTTTATAAAATGTATGAGTTAAGGAAAAGATTTTATGATTACCCCATTTTTAATATCTTCTGGTAATTCAAAATGTATAATTTAAGCTTTAAAATTACAAATATTAATACTTTATATAATTAACAAAGTACTTTCTTAATGAAAGCACAAAAGTGGTTTAAACTACTTAAAAAACTTTGAAAAACGGGGTTGACTATAGAATGGAATAAGATCCAAAGTTTTTAGAAATATTATATTAGAAATAAAGAAGTAATTCAATTTACAAATATTTTAATATTATTTCATATAAATTAAGTTCTTTAAAGACAACTATTTATGGAATAAAATAGAAATCCATGAAATCATTCTCTTTCTAAACATTTCCCATCACATTTAATTACCAATTTCGTTGCACTCATTTTTCCCCACAGTGCACATGTGTAAGTTGCTTACATTTGGCATTCGCATTTCACATTTTATTGCCAAGTACTATATATAGAGGGGGGAAAAGAAACGCATAAAATCGGCGAAACCAGGAACCACTCTTGAACCCAAGTCTTGGCCATTTATTATGTGGAATTGTTAAGGCTCTGTTATAAACGCTCCGTACTTGAGCGTCCTTACCGTCCTATTTTATATATTTTTTTCTTGCTGCTGCTGCTCCTGTTGTTCCTGTTGTTGTGTGTGTCCTGGGGATTAGCCGAAAGAACATCGCAATGTCGCGACGTAACATTTTCATTGTGCGTAGGAATTTTCCGGAGGAAAACCCAACCGCGTTGGGTGGTTGGTTGGTCAGGTGAAAAGTGGCTGGCTATTAATTTGAGAGCTGTGTGTCAGATGACATTAGGCATGTTAAGCATTCTGTTGAATCACTTGAGCGCTAACGAGATGCCATTTGAAAAGCTGAAGCTAAAGCCGAAGCTAAGGCTTAAGCTTTCCTTCATTAAAGATCTGAGTTATTCCCGCTTCCCGAATTCGTCGTGTTCCTTTTCCCATTAATCTTGGCCCGATGCTGCCACCTTTTCTTTACTGGTTTTTGCATATCTACATGGCCACAGGAAACTTGCTGGTTGAAAGCCAACTTCAAGTCCAAAGCCAAAACAAAAAGTGCAAGAGTTAAAATAACCAATTTCATGGCGGAGCCCAAAGCCCTTTATCAGGCTCTGCTCAATATGCAGCTCTGGCTGTGACTTTTGCTCCTTGAGGCAACTTCTTGCCGGTTCTTGCGGTTTTTGGTTATCACAACTCTCGACTGCTCTGCTTGGTTCTGTCTCCCTAGGCACCCTCATCGACATCCCTTGGGTGTCCTTCGTGCATCCTGGTTGTCTGGCAGGTATGCATCAATTCATTGCCTAATCTATTTGCTGCTGACTTCACCTGGGAGCCAGGCCGCTGCTCCTTGCCTTACCTTTTTCGCCGTTGTTTTCTCATTTCGCCTAGGAGAGATTGTGTGTTTGCAATTTAGAGTCCTTCGTCCTTGCTGACGGAAGGCGTCTGTGCGTGTTGGCTTATCTAGGGTCACGTTACACAGAGCCTGGAACCAGTGACAGCAACTGATCGAAACAGTATAGCATTTGAAATTGAGCAAGTGGAAAAATGGGGAAATAATTGCTTAATCAAAATCAAGGAAATGGGAAACATATAGTTCGTGATAGTATTTTACTAAATATACTTTAGTCCCTTGAAAAGATTACCTTAATCAAGAAACTAATTCCATTCTGCGAGAACTCCATGCTCTTTGCGTAATTGAAATATCCAATTTGCCTTTCAGAAACTGCACCCAGATTATGGCTGAAATGGCCAACTTAACAGAACGTTTAGCTGGCCAGAATGGCGATGAAAGGGAGTTGAAAAGATTAGGACTTTAGAATCTCATCTAAGTTGGCTACGTGTCCATAGACATAGACCTTCCTTCCGTGCTCAGCTGCAACAGCTCCAACAACAGCAACAGCAATTCGAATGCAGTTATTTCTGGCTCCCTGCAAGTCCTTCAAGTCCTTGCCAGCCATCAATCAGATGGGATGAAGCGATGGGAGCTGGGAGTACACACAGGCCTTGGGGGACGGAGTGAAAAGCAAACCTGTTTGGCTATGCAAACCACAACGCTGACCGCCTGACCCAACAAATTACTCAATTTCTTTGTGCCCGGCATGCATATCGGCCTGCGGGAGTAGAAGGTCCTGGGCCAGGGACACCATGCCTTGTGCTCCCAGAGGACTCAAGCCGGAGGCCAGCAGTCATCAACAATCAACTTGATGACGAGCACAATAAAAATGAAAACCGAAACCCGCCTCACTTGCGGCCATATCGCGCTCCATGCTCTATCTCGGTCTGTCGAGTTATTTGCTAACTTTTATTAATGCCGAAACGTACGGCAACGATTTACAACGACAATAAAAGCGCCTTTTCCCCATCCCCGTCCCCGTACCGCCCTCGCTATCATATCGCACAATGTCGCTCCTAGTCATAGTCATGCCACTTGCCATCGCCATCGCCATCGCTATCGCTATCTAACCCAGCCAAGCTGAGCCATTCTAGGAGCCATTTGAGCCGGGAGAAAGCCAAGGCGGACCGCCAAGCTCCAAGGCAGCCAAGGCAGTCAAGGCACCAAAGGCACTAGAACTGGAAGCCATCCTCTCGTGTCCTGACAATGGCAAGGAAGGTGCGGATCTCGATTTATGTGCACTGCACGCAGTCCCAGCAGTGGCGGCACCAGCGGGTGTAAAAGAGGGAGGCGCTGACTAGGAGGATATGAAAATGATCGAAGATTAGAGTATCCTCTATACTTTTATTGAAAGAAAATATAATATGGATTGTGAGATTTCTTGATATTTGGAGATACAATACGTATAGTGCCTCAAAAATGATTTTAGATCCTTAATATTTGCAACAAGCATTTGTTTAAATGTTTTATGCACCTTTAAGCTTTATTTTTCAGCTCGAAAAACCCTTTTCAATATATAAAATATAGGGAATATATAGATTAAGATCCTTAATATTTGTAAAAAGCATTATTTTTAATGCCGTATGCATCTTCAAGCTTTATTTTTTCAACTCCAAAATGTAACCCTTTCCAACATACAAAACATATCGCTTCTAGAGAACGATCCCACCATCATACCCCATCAACTTTTTTAAAAATTTCTCCAGGGTATCGTGCATATAAAAAAATGACTCTGGCTCCGTCCGACTTCTGTCCCTGGCAGAGACACACACACACTCACACAGAATGCATGGAATGTGAAAATCTTAAAGACTTTTGAATTGCCAGCCATAAATGCGCATTTATTTCTATGCTCAAGTTACTGGCACTGCCATTGGCATTGGTCCTGGCGGTTGGTAGGAGCAGCGGCAAGGACCAGCCTGCGTCACTTTGTCTCATTTTTGTGCTTCGCTGACAAATGCAGCCGTGCATATGCTGCCGCTCACCCACACTCACGCGTGCAGTGAGTTATATGCTCCTCCATGCCTCGGTTCCTCCTCCTGGAACTCCTCCTTCTGGCACTCCACCGGAACCGATGGTCCTGCCCCCCACACAGCCGCCTGGCGGCAGTCAACGCATATTGGTAGCTAAGTTATCACATTTGCGACAACAATGCCAAGAGCGGCAGGGAGAGAGAGAGATCTGCGATGGAGGAGCACTGGGAGCCCGGGATTCGCTTCGGATTCGGATTCGGAATCGGAATCGGAATTGAATGCTCCAGCAGGGGAGACGACAAAAGCGGTAGGGAATCGAGGAGTCACAGTCACACTAGCATATCGTATCTCGCATCCTAGTTGGAAGGTACACTCAAAGAATCGAGGTTGTAATCAAAGGGATAGTTAGGATAAAGACAATGTAATCATAAGATGTGCAAAACATATAAAGGCTATGTAATAATAAGATGGGTAAAGCATAT